GCCTACAGACACATCTTGCTGAGGTGCTTAGGCTGGAGGGTGTCTTGAATGATCCCGTGAGCAACTGTTTTGACACTGGGTACCCAGTGTTGAACTAGACGTAACACTGGTCTGATCCAGCATGGGTTTTCTTATGTTCTTAAGTCCCTTTGGAGGGGGAAGGTTACAGCCTTCACAATGGGTCTAATAATCTGTGAGCCTTTGGCTGTTTCATCAAACCACTCACACTGTGTAACTTATTTCCATGGTTAGTTTCTGAGTCATGCAAATTCACCCATTGTTTTATTGGTGGTTAAGGGTAAATCCCAGTAACATTTAGTAGCATTTCGTGTCATTACAGGTCACATCAGATCACCATAAATCTGAAATATGGAAGGAGTATCTGGAAGTGATAAAATTATATCCAGTGATTACAAGTAAAATGCTCTGATGCACGGAGAATAGGCACTATTTTGTTTTATAACTTAGCTGACTTTGTAATTTATAAATTTATACTCCTTTCTACGAAATTTGGAGCAAAGGCAGTTGGATTGTGCAAAGGACATGGATAAGAGACCTGAATTGTTTTTAAACTTTTCAATTAATTTTGTCAGTTACTAACCTTTTTCATTGTGTGGATTTCTTTTTTCTAAAAAAAAAAAAGAGAGAAAGACAAAATGAAGTAAAGATCAAAAAGCATTAGGTTTTCCTTCAAACATTCAGTTTGCAAGTATAGCTAACTAAATATAAGCATGGAAATGATCCTTGTTTTACATACAGGTTAAATGTGTTTCAGTTTGTGGGAAGTTTGTGCTCATGAATTCTTTAACCTTTTGCATGTATTGAAGTTCATTTTTTAAGGGTTCAACATTTTTCTTATTTAAGCAGTCTGGCTAATCATCATAGAATCAGTATTCTGATAATGGAAAACACAAACTGGCATCCAGGAAGCAAAATTGTATTTGTAGTTCAATTTATGCTTAACTGCCTACATCTCCTTGAGAGTGTGCTAAGTTACCACATCCTTATGGTCACTGAAATTCAGTGGTGAATCCTTGCTGTTTCCTATGGCCTAGCAAGCACTCTTGACATTGCACTATCATTGGTTTACTCTAGTGCAATGTCATTATCACTAGCACTGTGATATCACTGGACACGTTCCCTAATTCCAGTTGCTAGCCAACTCCATCACTCAGAAACAATCTAGGAGGAAGACAATATCTAAAAGGTTGGCTTTGTCCAGTTTTGCTACAAAGATCACTCTGCCATTTAAAACATTCTCATACTATTGGCTTCTGTAGGGTTGAACACAACTGTGTCTATCTGGGATACAGTTCAAAGCCTAATGCCAAGATAAATGGTTAAAACTAGCACCTTAATACCTCATGTTTTTGCCACTGTATAGCCAATATCGGAGATTAGAGTTATACAGCTGTGCAGCAGCTACTGATAACAGTCTCTGCATATTCCCATGTTGCTTTTTCTGTGTAGTAACTGTCTGAAACAGCACACACAGCACAATCTAAATCCTATGAGCTCTTATTTGCTGCCAAGCATTTTGATCAACTAATGACATGAATATTTAATTTGTCATTGTTCTTCTAATGTTTCCTTATTTTAAAATTAGTTTAAACCATGATCATCAAAGCAATATGGCATTCTAAAATGGAACCCTGGACTATTAAATTCAACAGTCATATGGGTTTTTATAACAACATAGCACTATCTTGCTAATTCCGTGACTGGTTAGGAACTCTAACATCTGAATTGCTCTAGAGTGACTTAAGAAGAATACTTACTGCTGCAAAAGTGACACAGGCCTAATAAAGGAGTTTATTTTATTGCTACTTTCTTCTGTTGTACTTTGCAGACTTAAAGGGCTTCACAGTCCACATCTTCCTCTGATACCCATGCAGATGGGGCATGATAAACTTCATTTTTGATAATCACAGAAACAGAGGATGGGGATATGAAATTTGCCCAGAGTCACACAGATTGTAAGCCTATTATATATTCCTGTTCATTAATTGTAATGCTGTAGAATTACTACAGATTTTAATTAAGAAACTCTGTGATGAGCTAGAAACTATCTTATGCAACCACATGTATAGGGCTCAGATCACAGGTGAGGAACTTGCAGCCCAAATTGGCCTGTGGACATTTCTCAGGCCCCACTATTCCAGAGCTAGGAAATACAGACTAATCTCCAATCACTGACTGGAAATAAGACCAAGGATTCCCAGCACTTGAGAGAGATTGCTCCCTGTCTCTAATGCTGGGAGAGGAAAGCTTTCTATTATCCTGCAAAAGAGGATAACTAGGATTCCCAAATGCACTACTCAGCTGGCAGTTAAAGGAACTACTCCCTGTAGTACAAGTGAAGATCCTTTGTCCATGCAGAGACATATAAGTCTCTGTTGCTCTTTGCACAGAGAAAGGAAAAGCAGGTGTGGAAGATGGTCTGAGGATATCAGGGAAAGGGCTTTTGATGCAGGACCCAGAAAGGCTAGCCATCCTGGGTCAAGACCTATGAGAAAAAGATGTTCAAGATGTTGCTCAGCTGCAAACTTGCACAAGTTTAAACAAATTCCTATCTCCATGTCTTTGCTCCCCATCTATAAAATAGGAATAATAGTGGCCAGGTTCCAAAGATCACGGGGAGAAAAGAAGCCACCCCAGCTGCACACCTCTCTGGTTTCAGATAACAACAGAAGCCACGCACCATGAGAGAAATCACGCGATGCGCAGCCAGCACACGGGGGGCATGGAAAAGAAGCCACGGTGGCTTCTTTTCCCCTGTGATTGGCCAAACACGTCCAGAGACTGCTGTTGAGAAGACAAAATAAAACATGGTAAAAGCACTTTACATACTAAGGAGTAATCACATATAACACAGTATGTTGGCTTATCGGAGCAATGAATTTATTTGCCACTGCAACAACCATTAAAGGTGATAGCAAATAGTTTTAGTTAAACAGTTTAATGTGTGATATAGTTTAACTAATACTCAAATATTTCTTCATTGGTAAGTTATGGCTGGGGCAAGTCTATTTTGCTACCTATAACAGAAGCTGCAAACAGAAACTTAGAGATAATTAAATATAGTTAAACTGAATTCAAAATCCCAAGAACAGTAATCTGAACACTTCATGCTTGTGTAGGTCAAGGACATTCCAGAATTCTGTAAACTTCACTGAGTGAAGGCTTGATTGGGGCCTGTACACAAGAGGCTCTTGCTTTTATACACATGGGAGACTGTTTCAACAAACTTGAGCAAATAAATGAAGCACTGGAGTGAAGAGAATCTGATTTCATGCACACACACCAAGAAATAGACACCCATGCATAAACTTTCAGGGGGTTGTTGCCAACTGAGTTAGACTGAATCTCTTTTTTAAGGTAGATAAAATAACCCTCAAAACCAAACCTTCACACTGCACTTACCAGCAAAGCATTTGGAACAGAGGTTCATAGTCTTGCTGGACCTGGGGCAAGGGGGGAAAAAGAGAGCTTAATTTGTTTTTGCAATTATTAATACAGAAATTTAAGGAGTAGAACAAACTAAAAAGGGAAGACGGTAGCAAAATTCTAGCTAGCTATCTTTATCAATGATTCACAAACTACCATGGTAAGACTATGAAACACTGCTTCAGCCACTTCAGAAGGACAGAACTTCCCTACTTCATACCAGTAGTGGTACCATCACAGCACAACTGTGACAGAAATCCACTAAGCAGAATAAACAGAAGCAGCCCTAAAACAGCAAGTCCGGCTTGCCACACGGTGAAATAAAAGAAATAATACACAAAATTTGAAATTACCTAACTGTACCACTCAGTACAATACCCTTCCTTCCTTCCTTTCTTCCTTCCTTTTGGAAAGCATGTAGAAGCCCCTTGGCTGCTAAAGCACAACTATGCTACTATGCTTCAACTATGTAGTAGCAATTGGAAAGGAGGAGTCATGGGATTTTGTGTTAAAAAGCTGTAAGAACTGTCCTGAAATTATTAAGAGGAGCTTCTTCATTTATTAATAAAGATCAGTAGCTGCTGAAGTCAGAAGCAATTAAGTTGTTTTATATTGGTGAAAAATAAAGTAGTCCAATCATTTTCACAAATAAGGTTTCAATCTGACATCTCCATATGTAGCTCCACAAATATCTTGACATAAAGTACTGCATACATAGTAGAAACCCAAGCAGGATGCAAAAAGAAATAGTACTACAGTTCTGTACAATGGAGTTCTACTATATAAATCCCCTTTCAAATAATTACAAGAATTGAATCTATTTTCCCAGGGCCCACCTGTTATTTTGAACTTCAGCTCCCACCAGCTCCAGCAAGCATGACCAATGGTAAAAGGGGTTGGGAGTTGTAGTTCAAAACTTCTGGGGGGGATACCTGCCTGAAAAAAGATTTATTGCTAAGTCACCCTAGTGGCCAGTCATTTATTTATTCATTCATTTATTTTATTAATTATAATTCTATTCTGCCTCTTTTTTTCTTTTCAAGGAATCCAAAGTGACTTATATAATTCTCCTCCTCTCAATGCATCTTCACAACAACAACGTTGTGAGGTAGGCTGACCTGAGAGTCTGTGATTGACCTGGCGTTATCCAGTGAGCTCCATGACTAAGTGGGACTCAGAACACAGTTCTCCTGAGTCCCAGTTTCACACTCTTAACCACTATACCATGCTGGCCCTCACCACACTCATGTTGCCCTCCAATTTGCAGCTTCTGAAACATTACGTTAAATGCCTCTCTCACTTTCCTCCTCTCTAGCAGCAGCAACAGTCAGCTTTCATCATTTTGGTTAAAGTTAATTTAAGAATGAAAAAGTATATGCAATATCTGGAAAATTTTAAGGTGTTATTGCTTCTAATAGAAAGGAAGGCTTTGGCATTCAAAACTACCATCATATCTTCTGCCCAGCTTGTTGCTTGCAGAAATGAATGATGAAAACCAGCAAGAATGCAAGTTTTCTTAACTGGCAGAGATTATTCCAATTGTAGAATTAGGTATTTTTTCAGAGAGTTTTTCATATGCTTATAAATTATACATATTCTTTGCTTGATAAAATTATAGTTACTTGAAGTGATAATGGATCTACATGAAACAACAAGAAGTGAAGAGCATTAAATATAGCAATCTAAATACCAGGAAGAATGTGGTCATACTTCTGTTTGAAAAGGAAAGTCAAGAATTTACCTTACTAGCTTTGCATGTTTTTCACACACACAAGGACAGACATGTTTCCCCCAGATCTAAACTTTATGCCAACAAGTTGTATCATGTATCTACCTTCAGAAACACTGCAATTAAAACAGCAGCCTAAATCAATACCTACATTTGTTACCATACTGCACTTCCATAGCTTTTGCTAAGAAATTAGTTGGAAGTACCGCAGTATGTTGGTGTTTCCCCAAAAGCCATTAAAACCAGGATCAGCAAAGAAAGAAAAAGCAGAATTCAATTGTTCATATTTATGAACAGGAAGGAAGGGAGATAGGATAGTTTCAGTTCCAAGCTTTCATAGTATCTTTCTTTCCAAATATACATGAAAGAGAGGAAAAATGCAACAAAGTTGTGGCAGTAAAAATCAGCCTACCACAAAACTATAAATCATGGAAAAAAGCATGCTTACCATTGAAGAAAAATAACGGTTTAAGCACTGTTTATTATGATGCAAATGCTAATGGTCATATAGGTACAAGGCAGAAATACAACAACAGTAAGAAAACAACTGGAAAAAACAATGAAATAAATTACACAACCTCCCTAGGTAACTGGTCCCATTGTCGCACTGCTCTAGCAGTCAGGAATTCTTCTTGATGTTCAGCTGGAACCCGGGTTCCTATAACTTGAGTCTATTATTTCATGTCCTGCACTCAGGGATGATTAAGAAGAATTCCAGCCCTTCCTCTCTGTGACAACCTTTCAAGTACTTACACATTATATTTTGCTGGACCAATGAAAGTGGAGAAATGCACTATCTTTCAGAAATGTGTTCTAATTTATCTATTGCAAAAAATTGAGATGTACCATTTTACCAATTAACTTTTGACTGTCTTAAGAAACTGATTCAATGTTCACTGCATTACATATTAGAGTGGCAAAAAATAGTCTTGCTTAGAATTTGCAATACCTCAGTTCAGTTCAGTTCAAATTTATTTATTTATTTATTTATTTATTTAATTTAAGATATTTGTATGCCGTCCTTTGCGAGAGCCTCAGGATGGCTTACACAAATAAAATTCAGTACATAACAGTATAATATGAATAAATTAACAACCCACTCTGGCTGCAATTAAAATATGGTAATAAAATTCAATATTAAAACTTGTTAAAATATTGATTAAATAAAAAGGTCTTAACCTGGCGCCAAAAAAACATATAATGACGGCGCCAGGCGGCCCTCTCTGGGGAGCGCATTCCATAGACGGGGCGCCACTGCAGAGAAGACCCTCCTCCGGGTACTCTGTCTCCTAATATCTTTCACAGAGAGTTCCCGGAGGAGGGCTGCTGCCAATCTCAGGGGGCAGGAGGGCAAATAGGGAAGAAGGTGTTCCTTTAGGTATCCTGGTCCCAAGCCGTTTAGGGCTTTATAGGTAATAAACAGCACCTTGAATTGAGCCCAGACTTTGATGGGAAGCCAATGGAGCTGATAGACGACTGGGGTTATATGAGAATAATGCCCAGTTCCCAACAGCATCCTGGCAGCTCTGTTTTGAACCATCTGAAGTATCCGAACTGTCTTCAAGGGCAGCCCCACATAAAGTGCGTTATAGAAATCCAACCGGGAAGTAACCAATGCATGTGCTACTGTTGCTAGGCAATCTTCCTCCAAGTAGGGACACAGCTGATGGATTAGTCGAAGCTGAAGGAAAGCACTCCTCGCCACCGCTGTCACTGGAGCTTCCAAGGACAGCTCTGGGTCAAGGAGCACTCCCAAGTTACGGACCCTGTCCTTTAGAGGGAGTGCAACCCCACACAGGGCAAGGCCCAAGTCGCCTACCCAGGAGCTCGAATCACCCACCAACAGAACCTCCATCTTATCTGGATTGAGTTTCAGTTTATTGGCCCTCATCCAGCCCATTACCTCGGCCAGGCACCGGTTCAGTACAGCCACTGCCTCACCTGGGTTAGTTGAAAAAGAGAGGTAGAGCTGGGTGTCATCAGCGTATTGATGACTCCGTAGCCCAAACCTCCCTAATGACCTCTCCCAGCGGTTTCATGTAGATATTAAATAGCAAGGGGGTCAAAATGGACCCCTGCGGTACTCCATGGCAAAGTTGCCATGGCGCAGAGCCAAAGTCCCCCAGCACCACCTTCTGGAATCGGCCGTCAAGGTAGGAGCGGAACCACTGACAAGCAGTGCCTCCTACTCCCAGTCCCGCCAGCCTATCCAGAAGGATATCATGGTCGATGGTATCGAAAGCCTCTGAGAGGTCCAGGAGAAACAACAGGGACGCACTCCCCCTGTCTCTCTCCCTGCATAGGTCATCATACAGGGCGACCAAGGCAGATTCAGTACCGTACTCGGGTCTAAAGCCAGACTGAAATGGATCCAGATAAATCAGTTTCATCCAAGAGTGCTTGGAGTTGTCCCGCCACCACCCGTTCCAACACCTTGCCCAAAAACGGGATGTTGGCCACCAGTTTACTAGCTTACATTTGTTTTATTCCTCAAAACAATACTCAAGGTACAAATTTATGCACAGATTGCACCACTTTAATACAAATTTGGATTCATAATTAAGTATTGTTCATTTAGTGAAGCTTTGCATGTGTTTTAAAAAGAAGGCAAGATACAAGAAAGAAGACAGCCTAGTCTTTGAAAAGAAGCCTAGTCTTCTTCTGGACAGACAGAATGTCCATGAACAAGTTTATTGCCTAACTTCCCATTTAAAAAAACTAGGCCTCAATACAATTGTTATAGAAACAGCTGTACACCTAAAGCCTGGCAGATGTGTTAAAATGATATTAACTTTTTAATGAAATGGTATAATGAAGAAGTAACTCCAACTGGCACTCAGCTATCTAGTATGACACAGAAGTGCAATAAATAAATAAATAAATAAATAAATATTTGATCCCCACTGAAGAATTAATTATTATGTTTTTATATATTATCTATTAACATGGAAATCTCAGAAACAATCAAAACAATATATAATATCAACAATCAGTTTAAAACCATCTGTAAAACAAATGTACAACCAATAAAATTCAACCAAAGATGGATTGTACTTTGAATTTTCCCTGCAATACAGATCAACACAGAAGATTCCACACCTTGATGTTTACACTATTTTACAAGCAATGAGTTTCATTTAATAATCAAGGGCCAACTTATTAACTATTTTAGTGTATTTCTCAAACTATCATTGGCTATTTTCACTGAAGAAAACACTGCAGTATTTTGAAAAGTTACATTAGTTGCTTCCTGACTTCAAAACTCTCACCCATGCTGAAAGACAGGCT